TTACGTCAAACAAATTTGTAACAACCATGAAGGAACTCGATGTTCAACATGTACTAGTCGCAGTAGCTACTCCAAGAGCGAATAGTCAAACGGAACGGATAAATCGTCTTATTCCAACGATAGCCAAAGAGATGATTAATGTAAACAAATGGAACGAAACACTTCGATCGATCGAATATGCTGTAAATAATACCGTAAGTAGGTCTACGAATTCGACGCCTAGTAAATTGTTATTTGGTATGAATCAAAACCAAAAATGTTGTGATAAAATTCGAGAGAAGTTGGAAACCTGTCACAGAGTGAAAGAGATCTTCCAACTATTCGTCAACAAGCATCTGATAACATTGAGATGCTACAAGCCGAAAATATCGCGGCGTATAATAAAACACGAAAGGCACCCAATCAGTATGAGGAAGGAGATTACGTAATGATCCGGAATATTGACAATACTCCGGGCGCCAATAAGAAATTAATACCAAAATATAAAGGGCCGTATGTAGTAAAAACCGTCTTAAACTACGATAGATACATCGTGAGTGACATCGACGGATTTCAACTGTCTCAGATCCCGTACACCGGAACGATCAGTGTAGACCAAATGCGACCTTTCGAGAAAACTTAGCTTCATAAAATAATTATGTTATTCGTACGTATCGCTCGTTCTAATGTGACCATAATCATTTGATCTTATTGATATTTGTATTTTATCTGTTGTAACGTTGCATGATTGAGGACGATCATGGCGTCAGGCTGGCCGAACTGTAGGCGAACAGTAGTTCGGAGATGTTTTTGTTGTTTTCCCGCGTTACCGAGCGTGCATGCGTGGTGCTGTGGGAAAAGTGAAAAAGGTGTGGCGCGCGGGCATACGTGGAGCAGTGAAGAAAAAGAGATTGAGAAGAAGAGTTGCAAGGCAGACGAAAAAATAAAGAAACCGTTTTACGAAGCTCAAAGTGTATACTTGATCATCCTGACAAGAGCCCACAGTATCAAGTAAATTCTGAATCACATATGAAATACAAATATATACGCGATCACAATCATCCGTATACAATCAAATTTGCAATGCAAAATATATTAGTGCAAATCAGGCGAACATCACTTCTTTAAAAAATCCACATTCTTGGTCATACTCGATACTCTGCCAAAAAATAATCTCTATAGTTCTCTCACTGTTCAGAAAACAAAATAATAGCTAAACTTACAAAATCAGAATTAATAAAAACACACCAGGAATACAAATTCACAATCGATATGACTTTAATTACTCCTTTTTTTATCACAGTGGGGAAATCCTCATGGATACCTCGTCCCTTAGGGGAAGGCGGGGGTTATGCCGGACTCTTACCGGCAAATACCTCACCGGGGTGTCTGCCAGGCGGACCGGAGTGGGAGGAGTCAGGAGAACTACACTGGTATTTCCTCCCCGACACCCCGGCCCTGAGGTTCTTAGGGAGCCCCTTGCGCAAGTGCCGCGGCCTTCCCCTAAAAGGAATGCGACGCCCCGACCGGTTGCCTAGTCGGGTTAGCCACCTAGTCCTAACGGAGGAAAGAGGGGACACCCACCCTCTCTCCTACCTCCACTCTCTACCAGAGGGGAGCGGGGCCCGTCCCCAAACGAGACTCTCGCTTCTCCTTTTTCACCTTTGCCGTCGCGTAGAAGGAGGCAGGCTCTAGGCCTGTCGCCCCCCCCTGCGCGGACGGAGGCGGGCCCGATGCAGTCAAGGAGGCCCCTCGACCGGCGCCACCTCGGGCCCGCTGTCGAGACCAGGGGAGCGTCGCCCTCTCCGTCGCTCCCTACGACGGGTGCCAGGGCGGCGCTTCCATTCGGCGGCCTTCTTGCGGGACATAATGTCCCCCGCGAAGAAGGCCGCTGCCGTCCATGCCTCCTCGCTCCCGCACATGGCACGCACCATGCACGGAAGCGAGAGGTCTTCCTCCTCAGCGCAATTAACTGCCCGGGCGAGGATACGGCACTGCTGGTCCCATGACCATGCTTCGCATGAGACTAGCGTATGGTGCGCCGTGTCCTCCAGCACCAGGCAATGATGGCATCGAGTGGTGGGCTCCTTTTGTATCTGGTGCAGGTACCGGCCGAAACAATCATGGCCGGTTAGTACCTGCACCAGATGGAACGTGAGCCCACGTCCCCGTCTTGCTGCCATTTCGGGCAGACAGCGAACGGTCTCGGCCGTTCGGAGCCTGGATCCACAGGGGTCGGTCAGTACGGTCTCCCACCGCTCCAAGACCCAGGCTCTGGCCTGAAACTTCAGGGCCGCTAGGTCCCTGGCTGACATCGCCTCCCCCTCCCCGCGGAACTCACGCACCTTCCAATAGAGGGTGTATCGCTCGTGGGCGATGAACTCCACGGGGAGGGAAGCCGGCCAGGATCGTCGCCGCCGTGTACGATACGGTGCGGTACGCCCGAATCACCTTCACGGCCATCGACCGCAGCGCCTGACGCATTAGGCGCTTATAGTAGTCGGTGGCCATAAGCTGGGACACCCATCTGGGTGCCCCGTAGAGGGCGATCGAAAGCACCACACCGACGTACAGGCGGCGAGCTTGCCACCTGGGGCTCCCCTGGGCTTGCATCAGCCCGGCCGAGGCCAGGCCGGCCTTGCGGACCCGGGAGGCCAACCATCGAAAATGCGGCCCGAAGTCCCACCGGCCGTCCAGCATCAGGCCCAGGTATTTGATGCTGTGCCCGATGCGGACTCCGTCCACCAGGATCCGGGATTCCGGTGGCGCCCCACGGCTGCCATCGTGGAAAAAGACGGCTTCCGTCTTATGGGGTGCCACCTTTAGCCCCAGGGCCTTAATGCAGCCCAACACCAATACCAGCGCTGTCTCCACTCGGAGGCGGGCATCTCTTCAGTCCTCCCAGATGACACTAGAGTATCATCTGCGTAGCAGATGACGTGGCAGCCAGGGGGAAGGGCCGAGCGAAACACCCAGTCGAAACTTTAACTACTCCTGGTATAATAGCAGAAAATATAATTCAAACATATTTACCTAAATATAATTTAACTTTTCAGGAACAAAATTACTATTAATGAAAATGAAAATATAATTCCAAAACTGAACCTAAAGAAAATTCCATATTCTGACGAATTACTAAGATTAAATGCCCCAGACAGACAAACATGTTGACAATAGCATGCATGCCTTCAATGTATATTTTATGATACCATTGAAGCGACATAACATGTTTGTAATACTTACTGTTAATACAGTACAGTAATACAGTACAGTACAGTAAGTGTATTACGGTTGTAATATATTTACTGTGAGAAATACGTATTTATTATTCCATATTCTGCAGCAAAATATCAGTGCGGGGGCGTTGGCCTTTCGTATATTTGTTGAGAAGGAGAACGAGCTGTAGACGTTTTAACAGTTTTTATCCTTACTATGTACACTATTTATAAACAAGTAAGTAATGCTCGCAGTACGTGATGTGTGGTGTTGCAATGGTCACGCGTATCGGCCTTTACTTCTAAGGCTCCGGCGTGCATGTATTGGAGGTGCTGCTCCAATTGTCTGGGAGGTCCTGGGCGACATGGGCGTCCTGGGTAACGTACTTCGGTAGACTCGAGACGGTGGCGTGGTCTGCGTGGACGCATTTGCTACACGATGACCCCATTGATAAGGGGGAAGCCCCCTGAGCCTAGGCGAGGTTTGCCGACGCCCCTTCGTAGATCTCCGGGTAGTGCGCTAGCGATCGCGTCAGCACTGCCGCTGGTAGACCCAAGCGTCGGAAGATCCACGGCTGGAGCAGGATCTCACTCCCAAGTTCGGGGTAGCCTCACACGGGGCTACTCAGTGACTCCTCAGACCAACTGCTGCTACTGGATGTGGCGGTAGTCGGGGCGACAGCTGCCGCTGCTGCTGTAACGACAGCTACTGCTGCTGCTGCCGCTGTTGTAGTGACGTTCCCGGAGGTGGTCGCTGTCGGCGGACAATGTCCGGGCCGTCGGGGAGTGTGCTGCTACTGCCTGGCTGCTGCTGCGGCGACGGCTGTGGCTGCTCTGGTGGCGGGCACTCCGATGAACCTGGTGATATTGTCCGCGGCGCTTCTCCCTGCCGATAGTAATGCTGGTGGTTGCCTTGGCGACGGTGGTACTGCTGTCGCTCTCGGTGACCACCTGAGGGCAGACTTACACAGAAAGATAGACGGCGGCAATGGCTGAGTCCTCTTCCACAACAACCAAAAATGCGTAGTCTTCTAAGAAAAAACTATGCTTTCGTTACTTTGTAAAAGTCTCACTAGTCTCTCTTGAGCAGCTATGTTCTCGAGCTGGCGAAGACAGAATGATGATCCATCCCCTGCCGTTATACTCCTTTTATCTTTGCTCCTTTTGGGCGGAGGGCTCGTCACCGAGCCCCAGGGTCGGGATGCTGAGGAGGGAATGCTGGCGCGGTTCCCTTAACTCCTCCACTCCGGCCCATCTGATAGTCACCCGGGGGGGATGTTAGCTGGTAAGAATCCAGCATAACTCCCGCCCTTCCTCAAAGGGGTGGGGATATTCATGAGGATTTCCCCCCGTGAACAAATAAAATTGTCTCCCAACAAACAACTACATCAGTTAATTTCATGAAGGTTTGGTTACACGATGGAAGCTGTGGAGAAAAAAAGGAAGAAAAGGAAGAGGAAGCAGAAGACCAAGAAGTTATTAAAGAAACGAGTGAAGTAAATAAGGTAAAAACAAACTACGGCTTTGTAAATCTGGGGTGAATGTAGTTGCAGGACAACCGAATATGGCGTCGGTAACGAGACTAGGCGGTAACAGAATAAAAGAGGAGCAATGTATAAAACTGGTTGTTGGCAAGCATTGACAGAGAAGGAAAAGAAAAACAAGAGAAAAAAAAAAGGAAAAAAAAGAAGACAGACGGATTTGAAAGAAGTCGTGAATTTTTTTATTGTAAAACTCTCTACTATTATATTTTCATTTAATAAAGCGTCCAGTTACTACAATATGTATAAAATTTGTAAGTATATAATGTAGTACATATATTTTACATATATTGTACATTATATTTTCAAATATAATGTACAAAAAGAATATGAAAACGCTCAATCATCTTCATCTGTGAGTAACATATCAATAAGATCTAGTTTCAGCAACTGATCACCTTCTAAACGTTTTTGAGTACCCCATCTTGATAAAGTTGGTAGAACCTTCAACTTAGTAATGAAATTTGTTCTGAATGGGCAGTTCTGATCCTTCCAACTAGAATATCATACATATAAATAATTAAAGCAATAGAATATAAGTTCGAGTTCTAATAATACAATAATATAATTGCTATATTGCTGTGATGTAACGAAATGTAATGTGTAGCATATTACTAAAAGATATTAAAGCTTCTCGTCCTTTTGCCGAGAATTCTGCGTTGACAGTGGAGCCGCAATGTAAGCGGCAGGAATGAAAATTATCTCCAGCGTGTTATATTCATCGTATGGTAAATGTGGAGTAGGTTCTGTTGCATACTACGAGTGGTATAAGATAGACAAAGACGGACAGCGAATCTATGTCTGTCCTTGTCTAACCATCGGATAGCTGACAATCGTAGCGGCTGGCATGAGCCAACGGCAATCTTATCTCTCACGATTAGAGTTTCCAATCCCGGATACAATTTAGGATCCCGGAATTTCGGGATTTTTTTAATTCCATCCCGGGATCCCGGGATTATATATATGTAAAGAAAGAAACAAGGAATATTTACAAATAATAGAATTATTTTATTTATAGAACGTTCATAGACTTTTATGAACATGGGAGCGTCCCAGATGCGCACAGAATGAAACGGACACAGCAAGTTGAATGAATCAGATACAGTGCGGCAGAAATGACCGCACAGTATAAAAAGAAAAGTCGATTCAGCAATAATACACATAAATAGTGCACGTACGATCAGATTTTACTTTTTCTTCACTTTTTCCGAACCCCGTTTCCTATTGTGTCTGTTTCCTGCTGTGTCCGTTTCCTATTGTATCCGATTGTCACTGTGTCCGTTCATTACTGTGTCCGATTTTCACTGTGTCCGTTTCTTACTGCGTCCGTTTCTCACTGTGTCCGACTGCAACAACCGTTTGTCCCTTTCCTTCTGTGTTCGTTTGTTACTGGGTCCATTTTTGACTGTGTCCAATTGTTATTGTGTCCGTTTCTTACTGTGTCCGTTTCTCACTGTGTCCGATTGCAACCATCGTGTGTTTGTTTCCTACTGTGTCCAATTATCACTGTGTCCGATTGCAATCCACCGTGTGTCCGTTTCCTACTGTTTCCGTTTATTACTGTGTCCGATTGTCACTGTGTCCGTTTCTTATTGTGTCCTTTTCCTACTGTCCGTTTGTCACTGTGCCTGATTCATTCAACCTGCTATGTCCGTTTTATTTTGTGCATATCTGGGACTCACTGTATGAACATTATGACAAACAAAAAATAAAATTTCAGTAAAAATGAAAGCAACTTACATTAATGATTGCACTAAAACCGTTACAATGAAAAATTAAAGTTTTTGTAATAAAAATAAAAATAATTATTTCTTCTTTTTCACATTTGAAAAAGCGACTTTAAAAATAATAAAACATAAATTTTGTTAAAAAATATCTGATCGAGGATCCTGGATTCAAGTCTGTGTTGCGCCAGTTTATCCGCGAAATTTAGAATAGAAAACTTCCTTAATATTTAAAATAAATAAAAATAATACATGTAATTAAATTTCAAATATAAATACACACTTCTCTAGCAAATGCTGTAAAACATCAGTAATAAGTAATAATTATTAAAGTAAAAGTTTTGTCAAACGTGAGTATTATATAGACACTAACAAGGGACTTGTCACAACTGTCCGGAACCGATTTGATTCTCCTTCAAATATGTTGTTAAATACAGAAATCTAAAAGACACGTATTTTTTTATATGTGCGAATATTGAGTTTTAAAGGGTGAAACACCCCTTTAAAGAAAAACGGTATTTTTCTTTAGAATCGAATATCTGCTAAACTATAAGCGATAGAAAAAAAACATATAATGAAAATTTAATTGCTTAAAGAATACTTTAAAGTTATATGAACAAAAATTTTTTATTTTTATTTTTTTTAAGGACCCCCACTTAATTTTTTTGCAAAATAAAAAAAGTTTTTTTTACCTAATTAGAGCTTATTTTCTTCCAAATTCAACCATATATGATAAAGTTATGTTACGAGATATCATTCTCGAAAATTAATTATAAACGCTTCCATATATACGCTTATCCGTACTATGTGTATAAGTCATTATCGCCGAAACAATAAGATATATGAAAAATGTTTATGTAAAATTTTTATCTATGTTTTCTATGTATTTATAACTGCATATTGTGTATATTTAGAATTGTAAAATAATTTTTAAATAATTTTAAAAAATTTAAATTAATAAGAATTTTTTAAATATATCCCTAGCTCTCTTATTATTTCTTTAACATTTAATTTCTTCTATAAAAGTTAAAAACAATTTTATTCTAAAATTACCTACTTATAATAAAATTATTTTACAATTGAATCTTGAAAATATACATGTCGCAATAGTTGGCATAAATAATTTATATCTTACGTTAAAAAATTAAGATAAGGTTATGTGAACGTGTTCCAGATAAGTTCTAATTAAATTATTTTACAATTAAATCTTTGCGAAAAAATACATATCGCAATATTTGGCGTAAATAATTTATATCTTACTTTAAAAGATAAGATTATGTATATGTGTTCTAGATAAGTTGATAATATATATTGTTTCATGTAGCAGCATAATTCTCACAGTCAGTATAGTCTTCTCATTGTAATCATATATGTGTAAACTGTTTTTATATGCAATAGAAAGCAAAATTTAACATTTTTGGAAATGATTATCAATCCGCTTAACGTTGTTAGACTTTTATTGGTGTCAATAAATTCAATATATCTAACAGAAACGCCAGTAACTGAAGCAGAAAAGGAATTAAAGGAAAACATACAAAAATTATTGCTGGATGGTGTTTTTCATTATAATGGGTTAGAAGTAACGGAAGAAATATATCTCGATTATGAAGAACCTTATAAATTACATAGTTCTGAAATAATTGAAGATGACGAAGAAGCATGGAATGAAGATAATTTAAATTTTCATCCTCATTGTTCAAATGATGATACAAATTTTGACAGTTTTTATAAAAGACGAGCTGTTGAGTTTTGGCGATATCGAGATATTGATAAAAACAGTAATGACAAAAAAAGGAATCGTCCTTTAAAAGTAGTGCAAAGTAAATTTAGAAGAGTTTCATCTGAACGTCAGTTAAGGCGATGGGAAGAACAAATAAATTCAGGTGGAAATCGTATAGAAAAACTATCTTACATCTCCATATTTACACACAATAAATTTACTGTAGCTGTTGAATCAGGATTCATGGTTCATGATATTCATCTAAAAAGATGGGCTTTACAAGCTCAAGAAGAAATAGGAAATTTAAATCCTATATTTAAAGAATCTCACAGTTGGATAGCAAAATTCAAGAAGTCTCACCGAATTGTTTCAAGAAAAGTTACGAAGTTTATCACTAGAAGAACATTAGAAGATTCTGTTGATTTGCAAAAATCAGAGCTGATTTTCTAGAAACAGTAAAACCTCTTATTGAACAATTTGGATCTGAAAATATTCACAATTCAGATCAAAGTGGTTTCCAATTGGAAATTCATTCTGGAAGATCATTGTCTAACCAGGGAGAAAAGAAAGTAGAACGTGTCATGCAATCTATATCATCAACAACCCATTCATATATGATACAACCAATAATATCCTGTAATGGCAATTTGTTGTCACCTTTATTTATTGTGTTAACAGAAGCTGGTGGTAAATTTGGGCCAAGAGTAGAAGAAAATTTATTTAAATCAGAAAATGTCATTGTAAAAGCATCGAAATCTGGTAAAATGACATCAGGTATTTTCTTTTCTAACCATTTTCTTTAACAAACTTATTTCATTTTATAATTTAATAAGAATTATAAAAACTATTATATCATTTATATTTTTTACAGATCACTTTAAAATGTGGTTAGAAGAAGCTTATTTTGCAAACATTGGTCCTAATAGCGTTCTTCTTATCGATTCATGGACTGGACATTGCTCCAATACTATTTCGGATTTAACCCATCCAGGAACACATATTACTACTATGATAATACCGAAAGAAACTATAGGGAAAATACAACCATTAGATGTTTATGGATTCAGAATTTGGAAAAATTTTGCGAAAAGATTTTCAGATACGGTTTTATTGTTGGAAAGTAATATAAATTTACATGAACGAAATAATGTAATAAAATTGCAATCTTTGATACATAATCAATTATCATCCCCACGATATCAAAACTTATTTAAATATTCGTGGTTTAAAAGTGGTTATACGAATGAAAGACCAGAAGAATTTGAAAATCCGGTAAAATTTAGTTTTGACGGAACACCAACAAAATGTGATATTGAAGGTTGCAATAATATAGCTGTAGTAAGATGTTCTTGGTGCAAGAAATCATTATGCTTAAAACATTTTTTTGTCGAATATCATTATTGTAATGTGTATGAGTAAATAATATAAAATGTAAATAAATTCATTGTGTAAATAACAAATAAACAAAATGTAAGATGTAAGAACAAAAATAATTGTAAGGGAAAAAATTATAAAACGTTATTAAAAAATATAATGTGTAAAGATGAATAACAGATTTGATTATATAACGAAAAGACAGTGTGTGCTGACTGTTAGTATTAGAATGCTACATGAAAAAATTTATACTGTTAACATATCTGGAACACGTACACATAATCTTATCTTAATTTTTTAACGTAAGATATAAATTGTTTATGCCAACTATTGCGACATGTATATTTTCAAGATTCAATTGTATTGTAAAATAATTTTATTATAAGTAGGTAATTTTAGAATAAAATTGTTTTTAACTTTTATAGAAGAAATTAAATGTTAAAGAAGTAATAAGAGGTGGGGATATATTTAAAAAATTCTTATTAATTTAAATTTTTTAAAATTATTTAAAAATTGTTTTACAATTCTAAATATACACAATATGCAGTTATAAATACATAGAAAACATAGATAAAAATTTTACATAAACATTTTTCATATATCTTATTGTTTCGGCGATAATGACTTACATACATAGTACGGATAAGCGTATATATAGAAGCGTTTGTAATTAATTTT